TTAAGGCTTCAGTGTTAAAATCGTATTTATTGAGCTTCAGGCTCCACATGTTTCTAGCCACAACCATTTGCCTACTCAGAGTTTTCTTTAAAGTGGTGTGGGGGGAGATTACACCTAGGAAGAAGACTTTTCCAATTTTAATACACATGCTCTGCCAAAACATTTGTAGCAATGAGATGCTCATGCAAATATTGAATAACGTATTCCACAAAATGCTCTCTGGCAGCCATTCAGTCTAATATAATGATCACAGTGTGTGTTCTTACACTATACTAGACTTTGTGGAAATGAAAATGGGTGTGTCCTAATAATTTTGTAGTTTAGTAATTATCACCTATCTAATATCTACATATTTGAGTTCCTTAACATATTTTTTAAAAAAATCTAAATTTGAAGCTCATAAAATTCACTTTTCTTCCAAAATATACTACAGCTCCTTCTTGGAGAGTGATTGATATTTCATGTATGGCCCTCTGTCTTCTCTGTATCTTTGCTGATTTTCATCAAACCTCCAACCACTGATTACTCTGAACACATCTGTCAATTTGGGCTTCTTGAGCTGGCTTATATGATGAGGGATCAAAAGGAAAACAAAATGAGAAAACATCCGTGTAAGAAGCAGTGCCATTATTAGCAGTCTGAAGGGATAGTTACTGGGAGGACATGCTTGGAAGGAAGGATATACCTTGCTAATCTTTGAAAGCCCTCAACCAAACACCTGCTTATATATTTCTGCATAGACCTGTTGATAGAAACGTTTGCCATGTTGTCTCAACAAGGACTTCCAGATACTGCTTATAGCTGCCCCTGTGGTGGCCTTCAAAGATCAGTTGCGTGTTTTGCTAGGGATCAAAACAAATGACAAAAGACAAACCTATGTGAATAAAAATCAAGCCACACACTTACAGAATGGACATGAATAGTGAGAGTAGCTGAGTGGTAATTCTCTACTACAAGCCCAATTGAAAAGAAAGAATGTCATGCAGATTGTGTGGTTTCAGTTTGCTGAAACCAAAACAAATGACTGAAAGGACTCTGAATGGATGGCTGAAGAGAAGGCAGTTGCCCCACCCCCCGCAACAATTTCTTTAACTACATAATATAAAAATTGCCTAATGAAAATTACAAGGCCATCAAGAACTATCCTACATTCTTTCTAGGGGAAAACACAGTAATTAACTGTTGCAGAATGATGGATTTTTACCAACACAGCTGTCACAACTGCTATTTTAAATAATTTGGTATGGTTTAAAATGTATAATCCCCAAGAAATTGATCATTGCTGCAATTCAGTGCTGATTTTTCAGTGCCTTTCCAATTTTGAGGCTTGCATCAGACTATTAGCTTTAAAAAGCCCGTCATGAAGTACACAACTAATGGCTTATTTTATCAGTGATGTCTTCTCTCTCCCTTTCAGCAAGATTTTATTTTTTTCACTGACATTTCTGATATGATTAAAGCAGGTGTGCTCTGACATTCTGTTTTTATTTTTCTGCTGTATGGTCATCCCCCATTTCCTAATATTTTTGTTTTTACTAGGGTGAGTGTTTCTCTTCAGCATTGCCTGATCATATTTGCTTATGAAGTTCCATCCACTTGAGAACATGATTTAATCCCCTGTCTTTTCAAATGCTGTGACATATTCATGTTCCAGTTGACATCTGTACCACTTCCATGAAGGTTTCCCAACTATTCTAGTGGAAATCAGCAAGTTACTAGGAGAGACATTCATTTTCACCTAAATAGCCCCAAAGGCAAAGGGAAGAATTGTAAACGCTTATTGAAAAGATCTGTGCCAACAGAAAGGAAATACAGGCTTGGAAAGGTGGTTGACTAATCTGTCAGTTAGAATCTGGTCAGATTAAGTGTCAGGTGATCAAGACCCCAATAATCCATGTATTTCTTCTGTAGTTATAAGTTCAGTGAAATTTGCTTTTGGAAACTTAGTGTTTAAATCAGCCTTACTTTCTTATTTTCAAGATACTTCCCCAAATTGTAGTTATTCTTTGGTGCCATAATTTGACTTCCCAAAGTCATTGAAGGAGTCTTGACTACTAACTAGTAGTGAAACTTTTCTTGTAACTCTCAACATTGTGTTCATGATCTCCCCTTAACTTTTATGTATATCAAGGCTTAATCTTCAAATACATACATACACACACACATACATACATACATATCCATATGTTTATATGTGATAACTGTCTTAAATTTAGGAGTATGTAGCATTTTCTGTTAATAAGATATATTATATAATTTCAGAATGCTGGCACTAATTTTCAAGCAAGTGAAGACGAACAGCACAATAATGAACTCTGCTTTTCCCAGAGGAAGCAAACAAAATAAGGCTGCTTATTTGATTACCTAAATTAATTAAGAACACACATCTCTGCCAAGTTGAAATTAGCATATTGAAGGATTTATGTTCTCTACTGAGTTTCTTCAAATAGATCTGTGCAAAGAATACATGTTTAGTGGTAATGGTATTATAATTTGTGAGGGCAGTTATTTTAGACCTTATTTATGTCTTTTTATGGTACTCCATATTCATTGTCTTGAACCCTTGAACAGCTTTTTAGGGATTCAAGAATTTATGTGAGTAACAAGTCTTTGCCTTTTCTTTTCCTTAAATTTTATAGGCATACACATCTTGAAAATTGTGACTCTAGTTTATCCTTCTAGTATGTTGAGTGTTTTATAATTTAAGAAGAATTATTATTCTGGTACAACTAGTGCTTTCTGAATATTGTTGATATTTCTACAGGGAAAGTGGACACCACAATCCAGTTTATAATTTTGGGCTTTTAATTACTCAGTAGAGCCTATGACAACTCTTAATATTTTAGAGTACAAAGCTTATCTGATTTCTTAGGATTTTCAACATATATTTACAGAAAAATTTGCACACATAAAATATAAATTGTACATGAAAAAGGAAAGGGCACACCAAACTCCACATTTCAAATGCTGCACTTCTCTAATTATAACATAGCCTTCACCCCTTAGCAGAAAACATTTTCCACATAATCAGAAAACCACAAGATGGCACTACTGAACAATTAATATATTTCAGAAAGGTGCCTTCTAGAGTCTCTAAATAGCTGGTCAAGAATAAGTGTATCCTTCTTCAAAACTAATGACAGTCACTTCCAATGAATTACAGTATGGCATGGAGAATAGTGACTTGATAGTGAAGAAACTTCACAGGTCTTGCATAAAGTGATCAATGTCAAAACATCATTATTGTTATGTTGTAATACTCTTCCCCCTGATATAGGTGATGAAAGGGACATTTCATTTATTTGCCCTTCTCCCACAAGTGTGCAACCTCAAAATAATTACAAGAAGGCATCATACAAACCAAAGCTGAGGTGCAGTATACAAAATGGATGACCAATAAAATCACAAATAAACTGTAATGTAGTTTAAAGGAGTATCATGCCAATAGTTGTTGACTGTTTTTATTATTATACTGTGGACATGTAATTTACTAACATTATAGAAAGCTGGAAAAGAATACATAGGAACTATGTGTTAGATTTAAAACTATTCTCTGACTTTTAAATTACTTTTTTGTAAATGTGAAAAGAAAATCAGTGTACAAGTGAGAACTTGGAAATGTTACCTTAATGGCGGCAATTTTTAATAATGCATTTTTGAATACACTAGACATCTATGGAAGCCTGTAATTGTTGTGTCTTAACCTATTAAATGATTTCAAGACCCAAGGTCTAGTTTCCTTCAGGAATAGTGAATAAATTCTTGAAATTCCACTTTAGTGTATAATTGTCCTACAAAATAATTGTGTTCAATTTTGAAATGAGAGTCAATCACAGATCGAGAGGATATTAAAAAACTGATTTTTTAGACCATGAATACTAGCACTTAACTGGCATTCAATTACCTCACTAATATGTTTTCACAAGTATGGTGGTGACTGAGTTCAAATTTTGCCCAGTTTTACTTTTTACTATCAATCAAAGATGATGCTATATGGTTTATATCTTTGCTAGTATGCCAAATTATTTATATTGAACAGAATAGTAGTAGACACAGAATAGCAGGTTGACCCATGAATAACTTCTTAGAAACAAAGAAAGGAAAGTTGTAAGTCATTGTGTATACCAAGAAATGCAGGTATAACCAAATAAGGTCACAATCTGGAGTACAAGGTGAACTTGGAATTTGGGGGAATATTGTTCAACTTAGTATATAGTCCAAGAATAATTTCTGCTAGAGAACTATCATATAAGGCATTCCACTTAAGTTACTCATAGTAACACTGTACTGGAATTTTTCTATTATCACAGCATGATGTGGGATTTTTTTGTAATTAGAAGCCACAAATAAGCTGGAACTTAAAATAATCTATATGTTCACTTTAATATTGTTATAAATCTATGACTTAGGCTAAGAATATAATATTAGAAATCACTCACTGTTATTCCAGTAAGAAAACAAATATTCCAGAACTTATTTCTTAAGTGTTGGTTCCTATGACACAAGATACATTAAGAAATTTAGAGTCTGTTGAATTAATTATGGATCACTCTCACCAGTGATCATTATGGAAGAAATTGTATGTTTGAAGAAATCTTCAACAGGAAGATATCTCTGCACAGTATCATATGCATGTAGGTCACAAAAGGTAGAGTAAAATGTCTTCTTGTTATCTTTAATTGAAGATTTGCACTTTTCACCTGAATTCTTTGCTGGAACACAAAGCAAGACTATTATATTAAATCAATGATAATTTTTGATGATCAAAAATGGCATAAGTACAAACATCTAAGTGCTTAATAAACTTGTTTCATTTTCAGTGACGTGCTTTGGATTTATGTAAATGTTGATAACATAGATATATTCACTATGAACACATTTACCTATGTATTAACATGCTATGACCTTGACTTTAATTAATTATGTATTTTTCTTTATTAGTTTCTTAGTAGCTGGGTAAATAGCAAACATTTGACATTTAACATTATCCTTTCTTTCAGGGACTCCATGAAAAAACCGGTTCATTCACGGCTATTAAAGTAATGAATGCCAGGAAATTAATCAATACTGTGCCCTCTCTGTATTCTGCACACTTAATACACTGTGTACATGGCATAAACAACTGCAAAAGCATTGTTTTGAAGTCTTATTTTATACATTAGTTAGAGTTAATCTAGAATAACTATAGTCATATACTCACAGTTAATAATGTATTACACTTACTGGTTTGTTTTATTTTCACATTAATTCACTCCCACCATAAATTCTAAATATTTTATATGATAAGCCAATTGGGAAAATACCTATTTTCAGTTCATTATCTGTTGTTGGGGATAGCAAAGAAGATATTTCCTTTAGCATTGTGTTAATACTGAGCTGCTCTGTCATATTTTCTCCAATAATTTCTTTTGAGAATTGAGGCCATTAGATCCTCAATGACAGATAGAAGGAAAGAAGTTGTCAGAGACGCACATTTTTCATATATTTCCTTACAGATAAGCAAGAGAGACAATTTAATTGGCACTGTTCCTGCTAACATTCATAAAATTGTGTCACAATTCATAATCTATTGTCAAAGAATTGAAAAGGACTGATTTCTGCCCTCTGTCTTTAGTTTGAGTAATTCACTTTCTCAAAATAATATTAACATGAACATAACAGAAGTTAAGAAATTTTTATTTCATTATATCCTAAAGGAATAATACTTGAAAGACTATGTAGAGTTATGGAACTGCTGTATCCTTCAGTGAAATGTTACTTTAAAATTAGTGAAGAAAGAGTCAAGCACTTTTCTTTTGCCAGTAAATGTCAAATGTTGCAAATCAATGTGAGATTCTAAGGATTTGGGGTTTTGTAGATTTATAAACCATAGTTTAGTTTAGGAGCTCTAGAAAAACATTAAATCTTTGTTGAAATATTTAAAAATAAAGACTACAGATGCTTAATATTTATTGTCTGCATTTGTCAGAGAAAAATTTCCCATTAATGTTTTGGTCAAATACATTAACATGAATTTAGTGACCAGTTTACACATGTCATAAGAAACTGAATTTTTAGATTAATACTATTATTGGGAAGCAAGAAAGGAATGATGTTTTATTCATCTACAATTTAATTCTAAAGTAGCACAAAATACTTTGCCATAAATGATTATAAAATTATGGTAGTAGATCCAATAATATCTCTCTTCTTTTTTTTCCAGACTCCTTTGCCTGAAATAGGGAGGCGGGTGAGAGTGAATAAATATCAAAAGTCTGTTGGATGGAGATACAGTGTGAGTACTAAATGTCTTCATTAGCACATCCATAGTCTTTCCTTCAATTTCAGGTTTCAGTTCATCATTATCTCTACATAGGCTCCCTCTAAATGCTCCTGCTGGAAATGTTAACATGTATATCTTCTACTATTCATATAGATTCACTCACCATAGTTGATTGCTATCATCTGTCAAAGTAGAGGATCTGGAAGAAATGGTCCTTTGTGTAGCCAATAACTGGCTGTAGGGGAAATCTTGAGTATATCTACAGAGTATAGAACCTTCTCATTGGCTAATAACAGAAGAAGAGTTGATTGTAACAAGAATAACTTTTTTCTAAAATTGACCTTAGCAATGTCCTTTTTACATGTTGCACCCCTTCTTTAGAATGAATCACTGTTGTCCAATTATGTTGATTACAGATATCATTGTATATTAGCCAAATTTTGCCCACTTTTTATATTGCAAAGATAATAGTAGAAAGCCCACAGTATCCACATCTATCCTAACACTCTTCATAGACTTGTCAACAATATTTGAACTCAGAAGGAATATGAAACACTTTCTCCTTTCAGAATTTCTGAGATCTCCCATATCCTAATAATCACTGACTTTAGAATAAGTTTAGGCATACAGAAATATGGTTTTCAAAAGACCTTAGTTTTCTATCAAAATATTATATGAGCATAAATCCAAAATTATTGTTCATAACAATATAAATCATTGATTAGTTTCTCTATTTTTTCTTCTGCAGCCAAATAAAGTTTAGATATTTTCAGCCTTTTTGCCTTAGTAAAGATAGCATCATGTACATTAAAAATAGCCCTTTCTACTCACACAAACACATTTAGAATCTTTCTAGGTATATGAAAAACCCATTGCCAAATACCTTCATGATTTATCTGTTACACACAGGCTTCTTTTTTGTTTATAAAATGTCATAACAGTAGAAACATATTCAGAGGAAGCAGCTATAAGTGGCTTTGGTAGACCAAAAACACACCAAACAAAAGGAATGAAAACTAGAATTATTTAATCAATTCTGTTTTCCTCAAAAGTCTATATTAATAAAAAATGTTAAGGTCTCCAAGACCTTTTTGGTATTTTTTCCATATAAAAAGTGGATTTTGATTGTAGCATTGGTGAATTTACAAAGGAAATTCTGGCATCCTTGAGCTGCCTTCTGACAAAAAGCAGGGTATTCAGGCCAGTCTGGGATCAGCTGGCACAGAGCCAGGAAACACTGGAGCATCATATTACTGGGAGATGTGTGAGAGTTTTAAATTACCCACTTGGCCTGATGGATATTATGTACTTGTGTGTTTCTTACAAGCTCAACTTCCCGTTAATTGAGAGTGGCAAACACACTAATGCTTTCCAAACATATCTGATCTTCATTTATTTGTTTTGGGAGAGTTTACATTTATGTGGGAAATCCACTCTTGGAAGTTTTATTTTTTTAAGTCATGTATTTTGAATTCTGTGATTATGTTTTAGTAAAGGAACATCGTTGCTAGCTAATCAGTTAGAGTCTCTAAATCAGCTTGATTATTTTGGCTAAAAAGTGTGTTAGTTGCACATACATAGAACTTCTCTAAAGACAGGAAAATGTTCTGTCTTCTACTGTATTTTTTAAGTAAATGGAACCTTGGTAAGAGTAAGTGGGTTCTTACTATGGAAAATCAATGGAAAAAAGAGAAGTATTCTGAATACTTGCTCTTTTCTAGCTAACATCAGTTTACCTTTTGATAGAGCTGTCCTTTGAAACTATGCTTCTCACCTCAACCAATAGTCTTGACTAACCAGATGAATTCAGTTATCAATAAATTGATAATCCTAAACATCCCCTAAGCACAAGAACCATATCTCCATTATTTATCATTTTATGTTGCCACCAAAGGTTATATAAGTATGCATTGCTATGAATAGATGTGTTAATGTCTTGAAAAAAATTTCAAAAGAAAAATATGCAATTGTTTAGGTTAAAACCGGTTCCACATATGCATATCTGTAGCTATAGTGTGTATGTATCATATGTTACATGTATGCATTGTGTATTTATCTCTTCAGTCTCTAGGTACTTTATTAGCATGCAAAACTTTGACAGAACGTATACTACAACCTTTTAATGAGAATCTGAAAGTAATCAGTGAGAGTAGATCATTACTTGTCTTCCAGACATGATGTACTCGCTTTACAAGATTAACATCAAATGAACCCATGCCTTTCAAATGTATTAAAGGCTAATCAAAACATTTTGCTACTAACTCTATAAATGTACAAGAAAAAATGTGACTGAAAATATATCCAATACCTAAACATGAGAGCTGTAAAATGTTTTTACAAACTATAAAATGCTTAGAAAATAACATAAAGGTAAATGCTTGTGATTTTGATTTGATGATGAATCTTTACATATAAAACCAAAAGTACTAACAATAAAACGATAGTAAGTTGAACTTCATCAGAAGTAAAAATGCATGTTTCAAGGAAAACATGAAACTTTAACGCAACTCACAGAATGGGTGAAGATACTTACAAATCCAACATCTAATAAAGAATTTGTATCTATAGTATCTAAAAAAACCTTACAGTTATACAATGAAAAGACAACCAAACATTCAAACATGAAAATAACTTTTTTATTTCATTATTTTGCAATACACATACACACCTCACACAAACTAGCCAATAAGAAATTAATACTATAATCAGAAACTACTTTTACTGGGGTATTATAAATCAAAACCACATGATATTATCATTTCACTCTCAAAGAACAGATATAACAACTATTGGTGAGAACAGAACAATCAGAAGTTTCATTATATGTTATGTTGATAAGGCAAAGTGATTCAGTTGCTGTTGAATATGAGTTTGGCATTTAATCATATTATTAAACATACTAGAATATCAGAGGGAAATGAAATATGTACATCAAAAATTTCACATGAATGCTCATAGAAACATTATTCCCAGTACCCAGAAGGTAGCCGCAACCAATGTTCCCATCATTTGATTGATTGTAAACCAAAATGTTTGGAATACTGATACTTTATGAATGGACATTTCAAGTATAAGCCTCAGAAACAGCTAGTGTTAAGAGACTACATATTATAAAATTTTATTTATTTACTTTGGATAGAATATAAATCAGTGGTTTCTCAGAACTAAGATGAGTGTGTTAGAATTGGGGATAGGCTACAAACTCAAGTTTGTAAAGTATCATTTTAGAGGAAAAATGTTCTGTGATTGTGGTGACATTAATATTTATCTAAGTTACTAAAAAATGGGTGTTACATTTTAAGTAACTGAATTCTATAATGTGTGAACTGTACATCAGTAAGATTACAAAAACAATGGACACCATTTACTGAATACTTTCTCAAGGTGTAGTGAGTGCTGCTGTTCCAGGGTCAAATTTTAAGAACTTCTCAATTAAGAGATTTTTAGTTTACTGTTTCATTTTGCTCCTACATTGTAATTTTATCAGAGATTTCCAATCATTGTTTATTCTTGATATCTTATTCTGAATTACTATAGAATATACTGTTACTGTAAGATTTTGCTTTATAAATATATTATGTATATTTATATAAATGCCAACAGTTTACATAGCTTAAAGCTTTGTTGTCTGCTTTTGCTACTTAGGATGAAGAGGAGGATCTCAGGACTGAACTCAATCTGCTGAGGAAGTATTCTTTCCACAAAAACATTGTGTCCTTCTATGGTGCGTTTTTCAAACTGAGTCCTCCTGGCCATAGACACCAACTTTGGGTATGTTTTTCTTTGCCCTGATCTTTTTCCATAAGAACAGTTAAGAAGTTGAGATGTGATGTTTGCTTTTCTACTAGAAAACTTAAGCTATCAACTGTTCAAGATAGTATCGCAAAATACATTCTGGCTCCTTGAGATACCATGATAAGAAATTGAAAGGATAAGCTAAATGCCTGGCTGGGAACTTTTCAGTGGGGCTGAAGGAGGATACAGTGAACACTGTTAATTTAAAATCCAAATTGTAAATTATAGCTCTGCTGTTTTTATTTTTGCTCATATCAGGTGGCTTTATGAGCTAGAGATAATAAAGAAATGAGGATAAATTTGAATTGGTACTCAACATGAACAGATAGCTGCATATTAAGTATTTTGACATATGTACACTTATGCATAAATACAGCCAAGTGGTTTGTTGAATTGTCATCATGGTTGGACTATTATGAATTCCAGATTTAAAAAAAATATAAATATCAGTAACTGGAACTTAGCCTAATTAAGTTACTAGACTTTTTACAATGCTTCAATATCTTAGATACTGAGTTTTAGTCAATGATATCTTTAAAAACAGAGTATTTGGGACATAAACTGGGATAATGGCTTTTTTTAAAGAGTACCAACAGAAAGTTTTCAGGATCTTCTAGTGTCAATAAAAAGTCCTATTACAATCTACATAATGGATTTTGGTAATTAGGGCAACTGATGCCAGAGAATGCTTACAACACATTACAATGAAATTCAAATTTAGCATGAATCAGGATCTTCTAGAGAACATTCTACAGCACAGAATGTTCAGCCACCTTCACAGACGTTTAAATTAAGTAGGTCTGAAATGTGTGTGAAGTTTTTACACTCTAGTAAGTCCATAGATGACAGTGATGCTTCTAGTTTAATAACAGCATGCTTAGGACCATCAAATTTAGAGATGTTCAGATTAACCCTATTTTTCTTGGATGTCCAGGTAACTAAATTTTCTGTTCTCTGACAATCATAGTTGAAATTTTATTAAATATTGTTCCACAGCTCTATGGTTACTGTATTTAATATTTCCATGTATGCCATATTTTCATAAAATATTACAAACTTTAGCTTTCACACAGCATATTAGAAACATTGACTCTCATTTTAAGATATAATAGTACTCATTCAATCATTCTAGCCCATTAAGAAAAGAAAACAAATCTAATGCTAACAGTGATCTGTCGATTCTTTTAACACCCTCCATATCTCAAATATTCTTTCTTTTCTTTTCCACTCCAGTCAACAGTCAGCTGTCTCCTCCTCACAAACTCCTTTGCAATGTCAAGGGCATTGGTTCTTTTTTTTAATATAAACTTAGAGGATCTTCCTTCTAAGTGTCTCAAACCACAACCTACAAAGCCTATATGTCATAGATTAGTTCAAATTCTGCCTGCTAATGGAACATGCGAATATGCTTCCTGGTTTACCTACCTTCACAAATCTCATTCCTCTGTTGTAATTTTTAAAATATTTCATGCTTTTACGGCTCCTCTGCAGATGGTGATGGAGTTATGTGCAGCAGGCTCAGTCACTGATGTGGTGAGGATGACAAGAAATCAGAGTTTAAAAGAAGACTGGATTGCTTATATCTGTCGAGAAGTTCTTCAGGTGAGTGGTTACATAATTCTTTGCCCCTGATCTTAAAGGAACAAAACTTTAACACACACACACACACACACACACACACACACACACACACATATATATAAGTATTTATAATATATATCTGACTAAGAATTTTAGTGATTCCTTAGTGGATAAGGAATCCCCAAAGACCCTAAGCTCAAATCATAGCCTTGAATGGCTCTATTTGAGATTCATGCTACTGTGTTCATGCTACTGGGATTGATATTAATAAAATGAAGAGTATCCTCACCACTTTGAGTATGCCATCCTTCTCATTTTGTTTGATTTGTTTATGATAACACAACTGTTTTAAGAGGGCAAATCATATACCAGGCTTGGATTTCAGATAATCACATATTAGTTGTCTCACCTTTAATCAATTTCTTGATTTTCCCAGGTCTCATTTTTCTTACCCATGATATAGGAGGATAGCATATTCAACAAAAGGATTCTGGGATAACTTAGTAATGACTCCATCTAAACATTTAGCACAATCTCTGGCACAGAATATAAGCTCAATAAATGTATTATTAATGCCCAACTAGTGTCTGGCATGATGTCACTGAAGTATAATATTGCATACCATGTCATGATTTAGCCAGGCCATGGGGTTCGGTGAATGGGCTGGAGCCAACATGGTAAGCCAACACAAATTGTACGCACTTTAAAATGAATTTCCATATTCACTCAAATTCTAGGCCTAAAGACCTCACCGGAAAATATTTTTGACTAAACAAATATTTGGATAAGAAATAGAACAAAACAGTTAATAGTTAAGATGTCCATGTCTTTATTGTCATGGCTAGTCAGAAATATAGAGGCTATAAAAGAGGATAAAGTTTCTCAATCTATATAAATATTACTTTTTTATGTTCTTTTTCTTTCATGAGTATTCTGATTTATTTTCCTTTCCTTATAGCCAAAAGTAGTATTTCTGGGAATTGGTTGTAGCCATTCCAGCCTAAAGAAAGAATTTTGTTTGAAAGGCCAAATGTGGACCATTTTTCTTAACAAAAGATTTTTTTCCAAAAAGCACTTAAAAGCACTACTAGAAAACTGAAAAAAAATGTATCTTTATACTTAACTTGACTTTTAAAATGTGTATGTATGTACAGGGCTTAGCTCACCTTCATGCACACCAAGTCATTCACCGGGACATCAAAGGCCAAAATGTGCTGCTGACTCACAATGCTGAAGTAAAATTAGGTAAGTTCATTCTTACACGGGTTAGATGAGGTAGAAAGTGAAGAAGAATGCCTTTCATCATATCATATCATATGTCATGTCATGTCATATCATATCATATCATATCATATCATATATTATCTGGATTTTCTTGAAACTTTGGCAGGGAGTTGGCATGAAAGTAAAAAGGAAATACCTAATAATTTCTTTGAAACTGAAGATAAATAATATTTAAATACAATAGGAATTGTGCTTTTTGGTCATTTAAAGCTTTAAACTATGTTAGAGATAGCTGTCACGCTTAATTCAGTGATTGAATCATGGTAACTATTAAACATTTAAAAATACTCTTACCCATAATAGAGCCATATTCTGAGGACTATGAAATAGCTTTCAATTGCTTAAACATAAATTGCTTATTTACATTTATTTCTCAAATTATATTGATCAGAAGAGATGTTGCAGTAATATGCGAACCAAATTCTGAATTTTCTTGCTAGCTAAGCAGAACCAGAGTAGAGATTCTGTCGCTAAGAATATTTTTATTGAATATTTGTGGAACAAATGAGATAGTAACATTAATTCTCAAAATAACAATAGTTTTGAGAAAACATATCATGACTTATATGCATAAACTACAAAACTAGCAACATAAACTGCACTGACTGTAATACATAAAATGCATATAGATGTCACATTCAAATATGCAAGATTGAAACTCATTGCCAAGCTATATGTATCCTATATTCACAAGCTTGAGTCAAGTTGCTGGTAACACCAAACATTAACATGAAACAGAAATTGCAAATACGAAGTGTCTTTAAATATCTATTTCAAAGTACATTCACTAATGTAGATGTACTTTATTCATGAGGCAAAACCTAGTAGTGTTAGCTTAATCATACTTATTTGACACATAATCCTTACACATTTTGACTTCAGTTTTTCAGACAACAGTATATTTTATGCAGCCTACATGAACATAATCATAGCCACAGGAAGTGACAGCAGGAAAGATTGTAAAATGATGATAATCTCCATAATCTGTTCTTTGTATCATTAAAGAAAATACAAATTATTCCATTGTTGAGTTTTGGTTTGATTTTGTTCTAATTGTTGTTGTTACTGTTATTTTGAGACAGAGTCTCTCTGTGTAGCTCCAGCTGTCCTGGAACTCACTCTGCAAACTAGGTTAGCTTTGAACTCAAAGATCTTCCTGCCTCTGTCTCCTGAGTGCAAGGATTAAAAGTGTGCATCAACATAGCCAGCTTCATTGTTGAGTTTTCAGTTGTCTTTTTAAATTTGTATTAGTCATTATTTCTTCTAGATTTTGCCCAATTTCTTTCCCTGCATATATGGGATATATCAGTTTATGGCTTTCCTAGTTATTTATTGACTTTTAAAGTTGGCTATTAAAGTGGGAACGTTGAGCTATTATGTAAAAAAATACTTTTTAAAGTGTAGATAATGAGACCAATGATCTTCAAAAATATTTGGAATATTCCCTCTTGTTAGGTACTCCCTGAAAGACTGCCTTAAACTATTAATTTTGTTTCATTTTCTTTGATTCCACTAAATTATTCAAGCTGCTTTTCAGTTATTTTGTTCACCATCTTCCAGATTCCCAGAAACCATTATAAATTTGAAAATCTACTTCATATTTCATCCCTGTCTTATTGTTTTTGGAATTAATAACCCCTGTCTACTTCAGCCCTTTTCTGTCTGTTTCTCAGGATACCATACTAAATATTTTCTTACAACATATCCCACAGATGAGTTAGAAACTAAAATTTATAGCACAAAACTGAGATATAGTCCAGATAATATTTGTACCTGATTCAGAAGATTATATATTTATTAAACTTCTCTCGGGAAGCTCGTTTTTTTCTTATCAGTGGGACTGGAGTTTCTGATGTCATGCATGAGATTCCTAACTAACTGTTAACAGGATTTACATTACTAAGATGTGGCTCACAGTGCTATTCATCCCCCAACTTGGTGGCAGATCCAGGCTCTACATATGCCATATGCCACATTTTAGCCATCAGTGAAACTTTATTTTTAATATTCATGATAAACATTTATCCAAACCTGCATTAAATTTATAACAGCACTGTTGGGTCTCATTCCAACAGAAATAGCAGCTAAAGCTCATTTCCCAGTATTCCTGGAGAAGACTTCATGGTAAAGTTTTCTGGGCCAGAAAGAAAATTTGTTATCCATTGTGGCTTTTGTATTGCCTTTCCAAGTTAAAGCAATAACTTATTGAGATTTGTGTTCCTGATGAATTATTTTGACATATGTAGTGGATTTTGGAGTGAGTGCCCAAGTGAGCAGAACAAATGGAAGGAGGAATAGCTTCATTGGTACACCATACTGGATGGCCCCTGAGGTGATTGGTTGTGATGAGGACCCAAGCCGCTCCTATGATTACAGAGTGAGTATGATAGTTCAGTGAGGATTCAAGTTTGAAAAAAAAAGTTGAGAATATTTATCTTATCTTATTTTCTAAGATTTATCTTATTGATATGTATGTATGCGTCTGCGTGAGTATACACACACATTTGTGTACAGGTGTCCATGGAGGACAGGAAACATCATGGAATGTCCTGTAGTGGGAGTTACAATTAGTTGTCAGCCAGGTGACCATGAGTGCTGGTATCTGACTCCAGGTGCTCATGATTAAGCAGCAAGTGCTCTTACCTACTGAACCATCTCTCTAGCCCCAAATACGTCTACTTTAACGATAAAATGAGAAAAGGGAGGTCTTCCTTTGAAGTACCCTCTAATCAGAAATAGTAGACTCTATTTCTATATGTGGTTTCATGGTATGCATAAAAATAATATTTTCTAATAATGAAAACAAAGTAGAACATTGGCACTTTTTCAGATTCAGGAGGGAATATCTAGCTCAAGTTGTTGGCAACTTCTTTGTAAAAATATATTAGATGGCTTCACTTGGAAATTTAACTTCCAAGAACAGAGGAATTTCTAAACTTAATGAAATGAAGCCAGGACTGGGGCCTCAAGACTGTAGTCCCAATTACTTGGGCAGCTAAGGCAGGAGTATTAGGCCTGTGTGAGCTTCAAAATGAGTATAAGGTCAGCTCTGTATCAAAATTAAGGGTGAAAGATAGGGTTGATGATACTGGCTAGTGGGTCTAACATTCACAACGCCCTAAGTTTAATCATCAGTTCCACACATAAAGAATAAATATAAGGCAAATAATTAACCTTTACAAATTCAAAAATAAAAATAATAATTTAATTACTTGAAATACTGGAGAGAAATCTTTGGCATTTGGCTCATCTCCAAAACCACAGAAAATCAGTGGAATAGACAAATTAACAATTTGTGGTATATATTAAAATTTCTACTGAAATTTCAATTTGAAGTGCACATCTATAATATATGTATACAAACACATATTCTAAAGAGTCATCATGGAAAGGAACAAAACTCCACATTTGCTAAAAACTATAGAAATCTCACTCACTTGCCACATCACACATCTTCTAAACAATTCACTGAGTTCTCCTCTTGTAGAACTTAGGACTCAATACTTGAAATTGATCAATATACATTTCATTTCTTTGCCATTTCCTCCAATGCTCTTTGCTTGTTCTGTAAAGAAATTACTTACTGAGAGCTCATTGGAATTTCTGCACTACATTGGGAGCTATGAAGACTATGGAAACAAAGTTCTTTCACTCATTTACTGCAGGACATATTGACTTATATCTGTATAAATTTTACAGTCTTCCAAGTATGGTATCTGTATGCATGCACCTCCATGCTGTGTGTGTGTAGAGGAGTTCAAAGAAAAACTTGTAGAAGTCAATTATCTCCTTTCAATATGTGGATCCTGATGATTGAACTCCTCAGCAGGCTTGCAGCAAATGTCTTTACCCTCTGAACCATCTCAGCCCCTTTTCTATATTTTGAAAAAGCAAGTATAGCTGATAGTGATGAAGATAATTTATAAGAGCTTCATAAAGATTCAAGGTTCAATTGATTATATCCCAGAAGTTATTGAAATACGTATCCAATAATTTATGTAAAATATATCAGTGAATATAGCTTATAAGTAGTATAATTTTCATATTATTGTTTAACTCATAAACTATTAAACATATCTACATTTATTAAATATATATTATATGTACATATACTCATATATTTACATGTACATACACATGCATAACAATCTTATGAACTGGGTACTATTCAAAAGCATTCTACATTAAATGAAATTGAGATACATAGAATTAAATCACTCAAAATCACATGTGTATTCATTAATATTTCTTAATAAAAATTTAACTTTTTATATTTAAAATGTAGTAACAATAGAAATGCACCCAAGATGAACTTTCTTTTCACTGAATATCATTCTTTATGAACCTGTGGTACAGTGAGGTGCTGGCTGGTTACAAACTCAAATAAAACCTTTCTGTAACTTCAGTCTCTAAGAAGCTTTCCTTTAGAAAATCCATGAATTGGCTCTCATATGGATAGCCCATCCCAGCACAAATGAATTTGAGATTCTTAATATTAATTTTCCATTTTAATAGTAGGTTTCTTGTTATCATTTTTAGAGTGATGTATGGTCTGTGGGAATCACTGCTATTGAAATGGCTGAAGGGGCTCCTCGTAAGTACAAATGTTTGATACAGTTGATCTATTTCAAAGATTTTGGAAGTATACTATACAATCTCTCTCTCTCAAAATGTGATGCTAACACTTGGAACAGTCAGCTTTTATCTGGCTACACATGTGACATATAATGTACCAAACCATACATGGTCATGTTTTCAATGATGACCAGATGCTTTTGTTAAAAAATCACCATATGTAAATATGTGGTATATATCTTATTATTTTATGTTTCTTATAACTTATCCTCTGATATCTACTTCTATGTTCATCTCTTCAAATTCAGAATGTGATAGTTGGCATTAATCTTATTTTAAGTAACAGAATGAAAAGGGACTGAAGAACAAACATATAGGAGGGCAGAAGAAGTTTCATAGAAATTGCAAATGGCGAGCTTCTTTGGAAAGATGAGTAAGGGCCAGGAGATTCTGAACTCACAAGGAGATCGGCGCTCTGCCTAGATAATTACTAAAAATTGCTTTAGTCATAAGCAACTCTAGATAGCCTCCCTTTCAAAAATTTCTCTTTTACCACTATCCTTTATTGCCTGGAGTATTTACTCTGCATGAAAACGATACTCGTCAATTTAACTGCAGCAATCTTTTAGGTTATGATAATTGTCATCTCAGAGGGGATAGTTTTCCAAAACCACAATTATCAGATGATGTCTTCCAAGATTTAGGTAAGAAAATTATCATCCTTTGATCTTTTGTACATCAGGCTCTCACACAGAAACAGAGAAAAAGAAGAGGAAAATCTTAGCAGGGAGAGGGTGCTTTAACAATAGAAAATTTTGGAAAACAGGACCTCTTTTAGTTCTTAAGTTGTAGTGGGGACTTAAGCTAAATGGGATTTTGATACCAAGGCTGGAAGATTTATAGTAGCATTCAAACACCATAGCACCATAGGCCAGAAGCTGAAGAGATGTACTTCTTAGGCTCCACCTTTTTTTGTGACCATGTAAATCTGCTTGATGCAAAGCAGAATATGAACCAAATTCCTCCTGTATGCCAGGCCAGTTTACTTTCTGCGCCATATGTTCCCTGATTTTTGCATTCTCCTAGATATTGTATAAAGTATTTTAAAATTTTTTGACCATTTTTAGTAGCCTATTTTTAATTGATCTGTTAGGCCTGGTAATGGAGACACTGGCAATGTAATGTTTTTATTAAAATTTTTACTTTTAATAGTTATACACTTATTTATATATCTGTTCATCTCTTAGTGTCTATTTAACGGGATATGTGAATGAACACTAAGACTATGGAATGAGCAGTAGGCTCTGCAGTTACCCTTTACTTTATTTCTAAATTCTTCTGTTTTCATTAACAGCTCTGTGTAACCTTCAGCCCTTGGAAGCCCTTTTCGTTATTCTACGGGAATCTGCCCCCACAGTCAAATCCAGTGGATGGTAAACATGAATTTCTTAAATATATTGATTTAGTATTTAATAACAAAGTTTTCGTTCATTTGGTCATTCTTGTTTCAACATTTTTGTTGGACAGAATTTCCTGTATTCCAGTATGTTGACGTGGATGTCTAAATTACTGACATGCAGTCAATAATTCTTATATAGAGTCCTATTGGTGGACCATTAAATTAAACATCCATAGTGCTGCAAACCAGGCAACCATGAAGCTGTTTAATTCAGTTAAACTCTTGTTTATGATTAGTAAGAGGTGTAAATTTTATTTCATTGTTGGCATTTTTTCTGAATCTAACTCTTTATGTAGATGTAAGCTTTTGGACTGCATCTCTTTTCGCATGCTATTTTACAAGCTTAGTTTGTCCTGGTTATCAATACCTTCTTTTGGAATTATAGTTAAGCCTCTGTGGCTATAATTGTTTATATTAAGTAAAACTTTCCAACTCCAGAGAATGACTGTTACAACATATGACCAGTCTATACTCCCTTGGCAACGTAGGCCACACTAATCTTTTAATTGACATCTTATTACATGAGCTTTACCATGTATGGGCTGCCAAATTCATTGAAATTTCTATTGTTGAGTAGTAAAGTCTGTTGACTTTTGTTTCTAAAGGTTAAATGACCTCATTGTATGACGTATATTGTTAAGACATGGGATATTTGCTAATTGAAAGACAAATATAAATGTAACATGTCTTTCAGAATATTTGATCTTGAATGTAGCACAGTAGTAGTGTAGGAACAGTGCAGCAGGTGACCATGTCTTTCCTCTTTATGCTTCATTTATTTCAGGTCCCGTAAGTTCCACAATTTCATGGAAAAGTGCATGATAAAGAATTTCCTATTTCGTCCTACATCTGGAAATATGCTTCATCACCCATTTGTTGAGAATATTAGAAACGAACAGCACATTGTGGAGTCATTGACAAAACATCTTACTGGAATCATTAAAAAGAGACAGAAGAAAGGTAGAGACAACAAAGTTTTGTATAATTCAGAGAAGAGAGGCCCTTATATTTATTTGTTGTTTTTAGTTTCATATTTGTTTAAGATTTTAGTTGGTGGGGGCTGGAGAGGTGGTTCAGCAGGGGAGAGGTTCTGAGTTCAGTTCCCAGTACCCTTGTCAGATGGCTCATAACCAACTTCCATTCCACCGCAAGTAGCTCTGACACATCTGCCTTCTGTAATAACCCACACTTACATGCACTTACACACACACACACACACACACACACACACACACACCTTAGTCTGAAACTTCAAAACCTAAAGCCCTTTAACATTTAGTGTTTTTAATGATGTATATCACTAATTCATATGATTACCTCATTTGTTATCATTTACCTATGAGGTTATTCATTTTTTCCTATTATACATATCAAGTATTCACATTTGCAAGACTTAAACCTCATATTTAAATAGAACTATGGATCATGGCTGTATTATTTTAAGTGAACGTCTAACTAAAGAAATGTAATCAAGTCTTTAGAGATAAATGTGTTCATAGCTGCACATTTAATGACTTAGTTTTGAAATAATTTGTATATATCATGTGAAGTTAATTCTATGTGTTAATCACAAATTCTGAGATGTGATTAAAGAAGCTAATTTCTTTACACAAAGGTAAGCTTTCACTTACTGATGCCAAAAGTGACAAGATGATTTTACTCAATGTAGGAGAAAATGCTCAGTAAGCTGCAATTCATATTTTCTAGAATGTTCTGCATTTAATTTCAGGGAGCATAGACAGAGGCCCGAGTAACTATAGAGTGAAGAACAGGGAACTTGTAAAGGATAGAAAGTATGCTAAGATCTAATCAACCATAGGAGTGACTGCAGTGTTGCTTGTCCCATTTAGAATATTATGTGAGCTGTTTCCAAATAGGGAGCTACAGGGTTCTTTATGCTCCTCTGATGATGAAGTTATTGGGATCAGTATCATACAGGTCAGCCATTCTCAAATTGCTACAGGAACATCAGCCATAATTTGTGGAAATTTAAAGTTAGAAGGATTCAAAAAAAGTGTTATATACAGGGAAGTCCCATTTTCTTGGACATTACTCCACAAATGTAATTATAGCTGTCCTAAGCAATTTAGAACAGGGATTTTGAAGAAAACTCTTCCATTTCTAAAAACTCTTCCACATTTCAATAGAAACAGCACAGCTGATAGAAAAGAAGCTGAATGCTACATATTAAGTATCAAACAAGCAAAAGCAGACTACTTAGAGCCCTGCATGAAGAACTCCCTCAGTCAAGGAGGTTACCTAAGTGAAAAGCACTTAAACTACTTCAGGGACAGTCAAGGTGTTTATGCCACTACAGGCTTGGGATGCTGCGCACAATAACCTCTTCTGGAGCAGACTTGGGAGCATCAATGGAATAGTTCATGGCTCTACTGGTCAAACCCACACCATAAAGCTGTTCTTGTCCCTCCCCACCCCTTTATTTCATTCTGTCTTTTGTCTCTTCAGAAATGCAGCAATCCAATTGATACAATTTTCTTTCTTATGTCCAGAGAAAGCAATCTGCCTGAACTATCTCTACTGGTTTCAAAAGTATACCTAGAGTGTTGACACTGTCTTACCTGCACAAAGTCTCTCTACATCCTGTGCCTTAGAAGCTGCTAAGTGACTAAGGAGAATCATACTCTATTTATGCATTATTTCCTTTTCTCTTTTTCATAAGGCATACCTCTGGTCTTCGAAAGAGAAGAAGCTGTTAAGCAACAGTACACCATGAGCAGATTCAGGTTTGTTGGGAAAACTGAATATATAATTAGATATTAGCATGTTACCTAAGAAATAGATTTAATACTACTGCCTTCTGCTCAAGACAACTTAATCTTTTCTGGTATAAAACAAACAACCCAAAAACCCAGCAGACTTCTCATTCTATGAGATATTGTGTGAAAATACTGAGAATTGTTGTTACTATTCCAAAATATTGCTTTATACATAGCAACAGAAAGATGGAGTAGAATACCAACCCACATTAAGGATTTGATCCATTAGCATTGCACATATTACCTCCAGACTATTTCAGACATTGCAAGAATTACTCCATAATTACTTTTTATCTTTTGTAGAGGAAGGCTGTATCTTTTAAAAATTAATTCTCATGTATGACCTAGTTCCATATGACAATCATCTGTGTGTTTATTTTAGAGGACCTTCTTGCACTCCTGAACTTCTGACACTGCCAACTAGTAGCAGATGCAGACCTCTTAGAGTCCTGCATGGAGAACCCCCTCAGCCAAGGTGGTTACCTGATGAAGAAGAGCCAGGACTCCAAGCACTTCAGCAACTGCAGGGGGCAGCCAGAGGGTTCATGCCTCTACATGCTCAGGACAATACACCTGGGCATGTACAGGAGCAAGCTCAGGCACCACAGAGCCTACATGGGGCAGCTCAGGTGAAAAAGCCACTACAGGCTCTGGTTAAAGCTACAGCATCTACGCCTCTATTCATGGAGATTCAGGCACCTCCCCAACTAAAGAGAGAAGTCCAGGTGCACACACCACTCCCTACTCAGGATAAAGAACCTAGCTCTCCAGAGGTACAGGCCCCCATACCCAAAGAACAGCAGGCCCAGTCTGAGGCATTAGAACCAGAGCATCCTGAAGATTTGGACCAGGTGCCAGAAGAATTTCAGGGGCAAGATAGGGCATCTGAACAGCAAAGACAGGGTCAGGCTGCTGAACAACAGCAGAGGCAGAATCAAGATCCTGACCAGCATCTGGAGCAGAATAGGGCACCTGAGCAGCCAGAGGTGCAAGAACAGGCTGTGGAGCCTCCACAAGCTGAGATTGAGGATAAGGAACCTGAGGTAATACAAGTACATGCCCAGGTGTTCCTGCCTTTATTGTCACAGAACCATCACGTGCTCTTGCCTCTTCACTTGGACACACAGGTGCTAATTCCAGTAGGGGAACAAAATGAAGAGCCACCTCTAGCTCAGGGCTGGGCTCCAGAGGTCTCACAGGCTATTGGTGCAGTTCAAGCACTGATAGAAGGGCTATCAAGGGACTTGCTTCAAGCACCAAATGCGTATATCTCAAAACCACTTGGTCCACTGCAAATCTTGCTGGAAAATTTGTCAGCAGATGAGTTTTACACTCAACCAGAACAGACGCGGAAGAAAAAGTCAAAAGTTTCTAGTCTAAAGAAAGCACTGGCGAAAAGACTATCACCCAAGAGGTTCAGGGCAAAGTCCTTATGGAGAATTGAGGAGTTTGAACTTTCAGACTTAGAAACCAGCAGGAGACGGCGCCAGCGTAGATGGGAGGAAATCTTTAATCAGCATGAAGAGGAACTGAGACAAGTTGGAAATGTAAGAGATGTTGATATTTTTCCTGAGTGAAAACTAGTAATAAAGTGTGCTAGTTAATGCTTACATTTTTCCTCTGGGAAGCACAATGAGATGAATAGCCCAGGCTCTACCAAACATTTACTAATTCGCACTTCAAATGAGTCATTCTGATATCACCAGATAACTGAGATCAAGAGGAGAAATTGCTTTAATAATACAAGTAATGGTTTAATGTGTCTCTGTACGAGTTGTACCTTAATTATTAGGGGCTTGTTTTGCTTACCAGCGAAGGGATAACATACAAACACTTCAAATCATTATTTTGACTCTTGAAATATTCCTAATTTAAAATTCCAAAGTTGCCTCCACTTTTATTCCTCTAAAATGTAACTATCTAGGCTTAGAGAGAGATGGCTCAGCAGATGAGAAAATTTACTGCTCCTGCAGCAGAGAGAAGTTTAGTTCCCAGAACCCCACATGGCAGCTCATAACTGCCTGTGACCTTCTGTCTTCGATGGGCTTCTGCACACATGTGGTACAAATGAGTTAGAGTAGGCATATAACACATAAACAAAATAAATAATTTTATTTTAATTTGAAGTTGTTTATTTGTTTTAGCTTGCCATAGAATGCTGATCTGTGTGTGATACTTGTGTAAATTGCATTTATTTGTACCTTGGGACATTTCAGTTGAGATTAAAGTAAGAACAAAAAGCCAGGGCTAGAGAGATGGCTCAGAGATTAAGAGCACTTGCTCATTCAGAGGTCTCAGGTTCAGTTCCCAGTATCACATGACATCTGACAATGATGTTCCAGGGGATCTGATACTTACTTCTGGTCTCTACAAACACTGTGCACACATGGTGCACAGACACACATGTTGCCAAAAGTACATATACAAATAAAATAAAAATAAACATCTTTTAAAAATGCAAACAGAACTAATTTTAAAGCACTTTTTGTATATAGTTGTCATGTTTACTACTTGTCTTCTTAATGCTCCCACATTTTTATGCAAATATTCAATGATGTGCCTGCACAGACCAGGAAACAATTTGGAACTTAACTTCTCTTTGAAGATTAAACAATAAAACTTCACTACTTCCAAACTCTCATATAGAGGGGGCTAAAATTTGACAGGCCTTGTTGAATTTTATCTGGAAATGCTAATCTGATAATCAATAGTTTATAGGTCTGATAAACAAATTAGTCAGGTCAGGAAAAATAGAATAGTTGTTTTCTAATAATTTTTAGTATTCATTTATATAAAAGGAACTATTATATGGTGATTAAACAGTTAACCAGATCCACTTAAATAATAACTGATGTAGTAATTACAAATGAACCTTGCCTGAGTATCTAGATAGGTAATTATTTAGGTATGTGCACATTAAATCAATTAAACAATTGATAATTCCCTGGATCATTTACATGAGAAAAGAATTTAAAAAGCAAGAAAAAAGAATGACTCAAAGGGGGAAATGGATATCATCACTCCCAGAATATAGAGATAGAAATCATACACAGAAGGGGAGAGATGAGTCTGAAATGGAGATGTGTGGCAGGAATTAAGGCATCTATTATGCTAATGACTATTCTCAATGAACTCTCTTAACCAATTAGAGATAATTGGATTTGCATCCATGAACAAGACTTGTATTGATCCTGGAAATATGCCTAATACTAGAAGCAGAAAACATACTGTGATTGGTGTGTGTGTGTGTGTGTGTATACTTATATGTGTGTGTGTGTGTCTGTGTGAATATCCAAATATCTTATATACATGAAACTATTTCAAAATGTAAATAAGTCAGTGAACAATTGTTACTGTCCTATGAGCCTAGGTTCTTACATAGGCATTCATATCTTTATATCTATTCCTTAAAAACAACTTAAAGGAAAGAAAATTCTTCCTACTAAAATCAAAGTCATAGTTCTTTTGAAAGATATGAAATTTAATTAGAATTTGGAAACATGTCTGAGTGCATTGCCATACTAGTGAGAAAACTGCATACATTTTCCTTATAATTGGAAGAGATAATGGTGGTTGATTCATTTGATTGAACAATTTCTTAACTCTGAGAACTTAATTTAGGAGGAATATTTGCACCTCTGTATCACAGATCTTCCTCTACTCAGGACCAAATGTTGGAGTTATAACAGCTCACCAAATGTGAAAGTTTAGGTTGTGATTATGTGCTAATCAAGCATTAAATCAGATTCTTATTTTGGATCCCATAGAAAAGCTTCTGAAACTCAACAGTTCCCCTGAAAATCTATGCAAATATGTGTGTCTATATGCAGTTTTATGTGCCCAATTGGTACCTTTTCTCTGCTTCAAAAGGGGTCTTTAACAAAAGCTGTTAGATGTTACTCATTTAAATAATTTTAAACATTTGGAAATTATTCATTATGGTTACAAATTAAGATAATTCTGTTGTTCCTATCACTTGCACTCTCACAGTCATTTAAATATTTGTGATTTTTGTTTTAAAGGATAAAGAAGATGACTCATCAGACAATGATGAAGTGTTTCATTCAATACAGGCTGAAGTCCAAATAGAACCATCCGTTCCAAATCCTACAGGAAATGAGGTAAATTTCTCAATATGAGTTGTTATGACATTAATAAGTACCTAGAAAAGTGCCTCTTAAACTTAAGGGTCTCAGGATCCCTTTATAATCTTAAATATTCAGACTTCTGTAAAGCTTTTTCATTATGTCATTTGCTCCCTAACTTATTGAAAATTAAAACCAAAAAGGTACAAATACATTTAACATGGTAAATAAATACAAATGAAAAGTGTTTATCTTGCCCAAAATATTATTATAGGGATGTCATTGTCTCATATTTTCAGATCTTTTTAATCTGTCTTGCTTAATAGAAAACAGCTGGATTCATAATCTAGTTCATAATTCAATCTGTGGCCATATGGTGTTTTGCAGAAAAGAGCTGGCTTGTTACTTATAGATGGCTAGAAAGGGGAATTTTGTATAAAATTTTCAGATAATTGTAACTATTGTAGATTTTCCTTCAGATACTTGTGCATATTCTTTGGTAGCATGCCCAAACTAGACAAATAGAATATAAAATTACATTCATAAAATTTTGTAGAACTAAGGATACTACAATCCACTGCTAAGTCTTGTACTATAAGTAGATAGTTCACTTATATATGATTTCCAAATTCATTATTCATCAATTGGGAAATATTAGTTCACTGTATATAAAGATTCTCCCAAAAGTTTGCATTCCATTTTACAATATCAAAACAGCACTTTTTACTATCACTACCAATTTTACCATAAATGTAACTGGGTATTCATATAAGCTGTCAACTACTCTGTAACAGATGCTAATTTACAATTTCTAATTCTCCCTTTAAAGCTCATGATTTTATCATTGCTGAAAAATGATATCACTTTGATTTTTCTTAGGTTTGCAAACTTATTTCATTTAAAATATCTATCATATGCACATAACTCAAGTAAGAATGCTTTTCAGTGTTTTTTTTAAAGTATACCATTTTATATCAAAATGTGGGTAGTTTGCTGTGTAACATAACCACATGCCCTTTTTTTACCTTGATTATGTCCCTTCCTGGTATACTATTTATCACAGATCTGAGTCAGTTAATCTATGACTCATTTTCTCACACACAAAAATTTAAATGATTACATGTCAGGATGACTTCTGTTTAGATGACCACATCAAATAATATAGTATTCATAACACATATTTGTGAGACTGACGTGAGTTTACTTCTTACAGAGACATGGTAGCATTATCATGACTTGCATTCCTAACAGGCAACATTCCAAATTCCTTTTGGTCACTGCAATTATCTAGTATGTAAATAAATAACACTAACATTCCTCTGGTGATGGTGATTTAGGAGTCACATTATTGTACTTAATCAGCATAAGATACCTCACAGAATTCTAGTATGAAATTTTTCAAGACATTTGGGATATAGTTTCTTAGATACTAAGTCCTGATTGACTAGTTAAGATTATTGTTTTATAAATACTAAGTATTTACAGAAGGAAGATAAGTGGGATTGTGTCAGTTAATTAGAATAGTCAATAATGTCTTCCTTGCTGCCTTAACACTTGGCTTTGCTTATATTCCCAGATGGTACTTATTACATTTAGCTTGACACTAAGCAAGACATGCAGTGAATAGCAATGTTTGGTTTGGAACATAATACATGTACTCTCGCTAATTGTTTTCCATCTCCCATTTTTCATACCAAAGAATGCCAATTCATAACAAGCCTTATCTTTTCATTTCTTGCTATTATACACATTTAGTGATTTTTGACACTTGATTTAATAAGTGTCACTTAGGTTCTTGACCCTGTTGTGGTGGCAGTACATACCAGTAGTCTCAGTTATAGGAGAGGCAGAGATGGGAGGATCATTAGAGTTTGGAAATTTTGGGAGACCTAATATAAAATATAAATAAGTGATAAGTCACTTCATAAGGCAAACTATTGTATGAAGGGTAAGTACTGTTTCTAGGAATTAAAGGAATTTTTTTTTACAATACACTAGATTTTTAAAAAGTGTAACGATGTCATTTCCTCTTTAGAGAGTCTAGTGAATTTCTTATTGCATGTTAGAATGGCCTACTGGGGGACACAGAAGAAAATTACTGGAAGTAAAAACTTAGTGACTTAAAATTAAATTAAGCAGGCAACAGACAATGGATCTGCCTGATATTACTAATAGAAAGAGATCTGCCTGCTATTGCTAACAGAAAGAAATTTTACTCCATTGAAGTAAGCCAGCATTGCATGTCCTCTTCTTGCATATTTTACTATGTTAAATAAATGTATGGTTATTAAAACTCAAAATAATTTACTTAGAGGGAAAATCATTTGGAACACTTATTATGACATACTCTCTCAAAGAAACTGTATTGAATTTTACATGTGAAAATCTAGAGTTAGTTTAGATGGGCATGAGTTTGAACTTAAATTCTTAATTTTTGGTTGAAAATCAAACTGGTTTTAGATTTTATTTTGACCTGTAAATTTTTAGAAAACCCAGTATCTTTTTGTAGGCTAATAATTGCTCAATAATAAAATGGAAAGTTTTGATTACATTATTTCCAGAGTCTACATCTATGCTAATGTTCAAAGAAACCATAAGAAATTATGGTTGTTAAGTTGTAAGGTTAAAAACCATACAAATAAGATGGGTTTATAAAAACTGCGATTTTAAGTTCAATTTTTGTGAAAATATATGTGAAGAAAGTAATTTTCAAATAAATAACAAAAGAATTTATGTTCAAGAACTTTATCAAACTATTGATTGCATTGTATCTCTAAGGTCCAAGAGAGATCTGCTTCTATGCCTTGCAACCAGAATCGTACCCATCGTGTGAAATTTTCTTCAAGGTATGTGTTTCCATTTTCAAATTATTTGTAACTGTGAGATTAAAAAACAAAAAAACAAAATTTTGGCGGGGCAGTAGTGGCGCATGCCTTTAATCCCAGCACTCAGGAGGCAGAGGTAGGTGGATGTCTCTGAGTTTGAGGCCAACCTGGTCTACAAAGTGAGTTCCAGGACAGCCATTGCTATGACACAGAGAAATCCTGTCTTGAGGAACACCAACAACAATAGAACAACAAAATTTTGTTTCTTTGAAATTAATTTTCATATTTAGGCAAAACAAAATTATCACTCACACCATGACAATTAGCCACAATCAGCTTACATTTAAAAACCTAACTTCAGTGATGCAATAATAACAGCTTTCATAGTCTTCTCCATGTGCTTCAATTCAATAATTACCTAACAATTTTGAAAATATAGTAAGAAAAGTAATCACAATAATTTAACTGATACTAATAATTTATCAGTATGATTTGATGTCAGGTGAGTTTTTATGTATACAACATGATAAAACAAATTATTCACAAGTACAGAAGCTAATGCCAGAGAACAGGGAAGCCTCAAAGTATTCTGAGGTCAAAATCAAATATATAAATCATTGTCCTATAAACAGATGACATACACAACACAGAAACTATTCATTGTAATTTTCAAAGATTATGTTCCATAAGTCAGGTGTTTTGTGCCATGCATCAGATGTGAATGACAATTTTAGAATGGATCAAACTCAAAAGTAAGCCTCTTTTCAGTCTGAGCTTCATTAAATACTTATTGACCATTCCTATTATTATTACACAGGAACAGTGAGGTGCCTTGGGTGGGGGCAGGAGTGCAGAAGCACATTGTATCATGCCTAATGGATTGAGTTCAGTTCCCATAACCCACACCATCAGAGAGAACAAAATTCCACAAGTTGTCACTATGACTTCCACATGTGTGACATGAAATGTTTTTATTTCCAGGTGCATGTATACACACATTCACACCCTGAAAATTTATGTCATAATCAGTGTTCCAAACAATTTTGCCCCTAAGTAAATTAATTTGGATTTTAGTAATTATATACTCATCATATTATGTAGTAAAATAGTCAAGAAAAAACACAAATGAAATAAAATTTAAAATTAAAGAGACTGCACAGTATTGGCAGATGACAGAGAGTTCATACATAATAATCACAGCCATATAACACTATTTTTAAGTCTTGTGACTCTATCTTCACACAAAGCCTGAGGGAGAAACTTTTAAAAGTTAGGAAGTAAGATTGAGAACTCTTTTTCTCTATACTCAATTCCTGAGTTACCTTGATACTTCTAACCTCAAAGAGAAGAAACCAGGTTAGCTGTGAATAAATTTTAGTGCCATTGAACATAATTTTAATATAATTCAGTATATACAATTTAAATTTAATGTTAACTTAAGAGTGATTGGTAACTTTACAGATTTTTAATTGATTAATAAATATATTTTCTACAAATACATTTTCTATAATTTATAAAAAGTGTGAAGCTGTAATGAACTTGCAAACAAAAATCATAAAATTACTGTAAATGAATATTTTCTCCTGAAATGGTGGGCCATACTAATACTTTTGTCTGTTATCAACTTGAATTAACAAAGGAACTACTTCCTAGATAGAAAACCCAAAAGCAAATAAAACTATCTAGCATTTTAGAATGTGTCACATGCCTTCATGTCTTTCCTTTGGGTTGGTTTGCCTTTCTTTCACAGATGGTTTTAAGAGATGAAGGTAACATCACAGTTTGTTTATCATGATTAAACACATTTCTTCATTAAACCTTTTGTCTCTTTATCATTGTAGTGTCTCTCAGAGGCCTATTTTCGAAGAAGCTCAACAGCCGATGGACATCAGACAGAGGAGTTCTCTAAATTTTCACAATTACGAAGCAGCATCAGGTGATTCAAAACTCAAAGTTAGAACAGTCATACAAAGGCCCAATACTTAACAGCTTATATTTCAGAAGTAAAGAAGGGTTTCTAGAAAGAATGAATGAAAACTATTAAGGAGGCCAGGCAGTATTAAGACAGGCAGTTGATTTGATTTGGTATTTGAGTGATTAGTGGTGACCTCTGAGAAACAGAAAGTGATCATTTCATTTAGTTCCTATACAACATGATTTAATATATTAAATAACTTGAGAGACAATTTTTTAACTAGCCAAAATTTGTTAGGCTACCTTTATAAGATAAATAGAATAACTGTGAGAATAAGTTTTTATTTATTTATTTATATATTTGAATTACAAACAAGATTGAATTACATGACAATCCCAGTTCCCTTCTCCCTCCCTTCCTCCTCTACCACCCCCCAACTAAAATCCTACCTATCATATGTCCTTTCTTCTAATCTACACTGGTTTTGCTTGTCATTTTTTCTCATTTCTCCAAAATATGGTATATACGATATCACATAAATATTTCTTAAATGCTGCAAACCAATAGCTTTCTTCAAAAATACATGAAAAATTAATTGATAAAGTAATGCCAAGAGTGCTTCTCAAATTTTGGTATCAATTTCAATCAAGTATTTTAGTGATGGCGTGCATTTAATAGACTTTAATTTGTTACACATTTTTAGACATTGGGAAAATCCAAAAATTGTGCATTAGGCCACAAAATTAGT